TATAAATTAAATATCAATATTTCTGATTTAAAATTCACGGTTTGAACCAGAGCATCTTATTGATATATGATATGTGAAGCATATTCTACTTACCACTCGGACAAAATATGGTGAATCCCAAGGTGCATAAAAGTGCGTAAAAACCCCTCATAATGTTCCACTTTCTTTAGCTCCGGGTATTTGCCTGCAAATATCTACACTCAAAACACTGACACGCTTTGATCGGTCTGTAGCTTTCTTTTATACCTTTCAAAGAGGATATGCAAACGAGGTGTCACCTGATGTGTTAGTCATTTTTTAAGCTCCCTTTACACTGGACGGCGTCCTTTCTGCGTCCCTTGGTGCGGCCCCGTTTGCGAGTAAAAAAAGACACTTTGCGCGCCAACAACTGGCCGCTCATTGAGCATTCATTCTGCAATTGCAACCAAAGGGATGCTTGTGCCTCTTTTTTACGACCATAGTGATTCCAGATTAATTGTCGCACAAAGGACGCAGAAAGGACGCCGTCCAGTGTAAATGGGCTTTAAAGGAGGTTTTAGAGAAGGAAATGAATTATTCACTTTGTCAAAAACGTGTCCGTATTCAGAATTCACTCAAAAGGAACGATCTTAATATTTGCAAAATCATAGGCGGTGACAAACAGTTTTGCTCCAGTTTTTTTCATTCCTTACTCCAGCAGCTATTAATTGATTATTTCGATGAAAAATCAATTAGCTTGGGCTTGATTACCTTGGCGACAGGCTGCGTCGCTGTAATCGATATGGTTACGGTCAGTCTGAGCGTTATAGGAGCATGACGCGTTGATTCGTGTGGATATGACTTGCATTATATCGAAACTAGCAGGGTTTGTTGTCGTTGTCTTTATTCCACTGTCTGTCCATCTTTCTACCCACTTATCTGTTTATCTGCCCATCCAATAACTTGCCTTACCAACAAACTTATCTACTTATATCTATAGATCGATCGATCGATCTATCTTTTTATCAATCCATTTACTCAACCATTTATCTATCAATTTTCTCTTTCTGCATATTTGACCAAACCTCTTTTCATCTTGTCCCATTCCCTTAGTTCCTGTACTCTGTCATATAATCATTGTTATTTTAAAGAATACACTACAGATAATGGCCCTTTCTATTTCGCCGTCAGAAAAGAAAATATAGAGGCATGATTTCATACAGTACAAAGTAATTTCATAAACACAGTCTATTCTTTTTTTTTTTAAGTCAGTCGGTGTTAACGCAAATAACACTTAACTTGTTTATGCAACACCGTTTGGAATATTTCTTTTACCGCATCCTGGATCCTTAAAGTCACAGTTCCACAGAAAGGGGTCACGTTTGACAAACCACAAGTAATAATCAGCTATTTTTGTTTGAATTTCGACGTAAAATCATTTATATAGTAATAATTCATGTATACTTAACATTTTAGTTGAGGTGATAATGCTTTTCAAGTTAAAGAAAGAACTATTAGCAAGTTGCATAAATAGTGAGCGTGAAAAACGTGTTGTGATTGCGTTTTGTTGTGCCATTGTGTTTATTTTTTGTCGTGCACCTAGTCATCATCATCAAGTGTCAGACCTGGTGCAGGCATTGACGACCATGTTCCTACAGTTTACTCTATTTTCAGTCGATTGGATGAGCTCGTTATTGTACAGTTGTTGATATGTTGCGAAGGCATTAAGGCTATCAATGCATGATATTCCTCGTCTTCCTCTACTTTATCCCTAAATTTCCCCACAGAGTACCATTTTTTCTAGTCCACCTTTTCTGATGGAATGGCTTAGCGATTTCATTTGTCTTTTTCTGATTGTTTTATTCAATGAGAGTTGTATTCCTGCAAGTTATGACACTTATTTATTGGCCTTTCTTTCTGTCCAGAATATTCTCAACAATCTTCGTAATTACCACATGTCGGTAGCTTGCAATTTTATTTTTAGTTTTTATAGATATATTACAGTATTCTTTACCATACAAGAATACTGACTACACGAAGGATATCAATGTTTTTATTGTGTTGGTAGGGATGTTTCTATTTTTTAGTATTGTGCTAATCTTGTTAAATTTTAGCATTTTGCATCTGATGACAACATGCATCTGAAATATTTAAATTGGTATACTTGGTCATGTCATTGCGGTCTCATTCGTGTAACTTAGGAATACTAATACGGTAAAATAATGTCCCAAAATCCGGGGCATTTTGTCGAAATTTCTGACACTCATGTTCGTCTTCACTTGCTGGAAACCCTTGTCTGACAAAGATGTACCTTATTTATTCTTGTTTCAATTTCTAAATGCCTTTTTAATCAAATTACATCGCGTATTCTCCCTCAGATGCCGCGAACACAACTGGAAAGCACTTATTTAAAGTCTTTGGAGTGTCTTTTTTCCATCGAAACCAACTGCAATTTTGAAAACTCCATGTAAACGGGGTATCGTCTATGTAAGCAAGGTCCTTACAGACTTTTGCCTGAGGGTGAATAAAAAAGGTCATAGTGGTTTAATGTCCGAGATGTCTAAATCCTTATGATTCTCTGTTTTCAGTACATTTAGTCACCATGGATGCACTTAGAAGGCCAGAGTATGTATTACGACGAACAACAAAATGACAGATAAATATTTTATTAATAACTATGTCTGTGCTATATTACATTCAAAAATAATTTCTACCTCCTATGCTCTTGAAAAGCTTCTTTTCTTCCTTATAATTATAGAAATAAAGTTCATTTTAACATTGTATAGGTATATTATATCTAATAGTTTTACCCTACAATACATGCAAATAGTTTTACCCTCTCGGGCTTAAGAAAGATCAAATGCATAATTGGAAATAAGTATAATATGACAAAAAATTTAAAACAAGGTAAAGAATAAATGTTAGAATTATTAATCAGATATTAGTCAGTTGAATAAGATATTTTGAAGAGCCGTTTGCTTCCTCTTATCGTTAAACGTTTGCATTAGCTTGGCAAAAATTAACAGGGTGAGTGGTATTCTTCATAATATTTTCGGCTTTGAAAGCCACCCTCTCCGTATAAATCCTTCTAAGAGAGGGTAGATCTAACCCCTAGTGCATCAGTGTGCGGTATAAGGGACACACTGTTTATTAAGCAGGCATAATTAAGCGTGTACACTGTTTATACCGTAATCTTTTATTAAGTATCATCAAACATAATAAAAATTTACATGCTCTTTTTTACTTGTCAAATACTGTCTTATGGCGAATATCTACTTATTCACCGATTTTTCAACTATTCTCTACTGCGAACGCTTCTCGATACTTTTGGACACACCCATTCTTTCTGATATCGTTAGGTAGGCCAAGATATTAGGACACTATATGTGGTTTTGTAACTTAAAATATAGCCCTACGTCAATTATATGTACACGATTTAGTTTTCGCCCGTTGCCTCTATAGACATGTTGCTTTGATCAGACGGAGATTCAATACTTTGGCCACTCACCAAGCTTCTTCCGCTACCACCAAAAATATGACTGTAATTTTTGTCCTTTCTTAGAACTTTCATGCAATCATCATATTTAAGTTCTTCAAAGATTTTAAGGAGTTTAATAGCATCTCCATGATACACCATATGGAATATCGTGTCAACAATTTGATCATCCGATATCCCGTCATCAGTGCACTGCTTAAGAACATCTTCCAAGCCATTCTTTTTGGCCAATATGATATATCTGTCATCTTGACTTAACAGTTTCTGCAACTCCTCAATTGTGTGCCCATCTAATGTCGTTGCTTTTGTGTGAAGACTGGAGTTTTGTTCCAATGGTGACTGTACAAATATTGAAAATGGCGAAGGTTAGTCAACAGAATAGTAACAGTTTCAACAATAAGCATAGTTACGTTAATTGTAATCCATTCACGATCTGCTATTTCATAAGCATGGATTAATAAAGATTTTAATTCGGAGGAATAACATAATAATGTACGTTTTACGAAGGGAAATGTGCCTGATAAGATACTGGCTCTGTAATGTTGTGCATGTATAGATCGCATAGGTTGATATACACTTATAGGAATTGACTAAATAATGATAGACCCATATGCATGCCCAGTTTTAATAAAGAGGAAGTAAGAAAATCTGTGCTCAATTTTTTCTCTTCAATAAACTCCATTGGATATCAAATGCACGTTACCTGATCAACACCGCTATAAGGAAGTGAAACCTTGGTGAACTGAGGTGCTTTGTCTTTTTCGTGTTCTATTGATATAGAAAATTCAATCTTCTTCGCACTGTCGGGTATATTGTCAAACGTGAAGTTTGCCTCACAACTATCAAAATTCCCATCATTGTCGAAGCATCCATCCTTTGCTATTTCCTGTAAAGAGAAACAAATAAAATCGAACCAAAATATTACATATAAGTAGAAGTTGGCAACTTTGGCTTACTCGATTTTTGGATTTCTGAGTACCTTATAGCTTACAGTAGAGTGTATCAACAATGAAGACAGCATTTCTTTTGTTTTGTTGGGCAACTACAACTTACAATAGAGTGTGTCAACAGTACATTTTACTGGTGTTTTGGATTTCTGGCTACCTTATAACTTACAATAGGTTGTGTCAACAATGAAGTAGCTGTATCAAAAATTCTTAGAGTTAAAGCTTACATATTGGAAAACTTTGACTTACAATATAGTTTGTCAACAGTGAAGCTTACTCGATTACTGACTACCTTATAACTTACAATAGAGTGAGTCAATATGAAAGTAACTGTGTCAAAAATTATTAGAGTTCAAGCTTGCATGTTGGGCTACTACGGTTGACAATAGAGTAAGCTTAAACTCTAAGATTTTTTATACATCTACTTCATTGTTGACACACTCTGTTGCAAGCTATAAGGTACTCAGAAATCAAAAAATCGAGTAAGCCAAAGTTGCCCACTTCTACTCTTATAAATGATAAGTCCGCGGACGTTAAGCTAGACAACATAGCTCTTACTCGATATTGACAATCTTAAACACTAACCATTTTTTGTGACCCTGTAGATACATCGTCTATGGTGCTTTTAACTGTGATGGTTATATGCGTCAAGTCAAATGTACCGTAGTATCTCCAATTTGTTAAGCATTTAGGGTGTACGCTTCTACGTTTTTCTTGCTTGATATCCTTAATGATTGAAAAGTCAATTATTAGCATGAGTATAACATTCGATCCGTAAAACTATACTTAGCATTCATTAATTAAATTTAAAATGTCAGACCATTACGCTGAT